TCGATACCACTGTCGAAATCAACGCAAGGCGCGATGCTCGCGGCTGGGATCGAACCCGGAACCTCGGCATTATGAAGCACGTTCGCAATGCCTAAGGCACAGATACCGACTTGTGATAAATCATACTGCTTCTGGTAGCATGGGAATAGGAACTCTTTGCTGGCTGCTGAAGATGCGGACAGAGCGCTAATAAAAATGTTTGAATGCTATGATGTCAGTTCTTAGCTGAACATCGAATAAGCCATGGCTATGGCGAGTGTGACCAGCTTACATTAGGAAAAAAAAAATCTTTAACAATTAATGTGTGAGATAACAGGCATTAAATCTTTATAAGGCTGCTGTTTTCTGCCAGCTAAACGTAAGTGGATCATTTCAAATAAGTGAAACAAACACTCAACAGTACATGCTAGGTATGGCTGTTAATTTTTGAGTGTTAAGCTAAAAAATAAACCACAGCACTCATAACATTCTCATATGTGATCTGTCCTCATCTTAAGCAGCCAGCAAAGAATTCCAATGGTACCAGTAGCAGTTTGATTATATGTCCGTCCTGCCTTTCCTATGAGTGTGGAGTGTCGACCAGATTCCCTGGTAACTCCTAGCAATATCGATCTCTCCAGACCAGTGTTCTATCTGTGTATCTGCATGGTTCAATTGTTCTCAATGGGGTTGTGACCACAACAAGCTTGTGATGCATAAATTCAACATCAGCCATTGTTGTAGAACATTCTACAGAACCAGCCAATCTGTTTATTTCCTCAAACGCCTTGCATAATGTAAAAGCAAAGAACCCTTCTCCACGTCTTTCATAGACCAGTCAGCACTCATCTGTGATGTGATGAACATCACGCTGGCTGGCTGTCTTGACTTACCATGACTTTACCTTGTACCCACTCAAGGTTGAGGTGACCTAGGAGCTATGGCCATTTTGGGAAAAAAATTTGGTTTCACTTGGACTCGAATCTACAACCTTCTGATCCACAAGAAACAACAGTGGACTCAGGGCAGCATCATCGCTGTTGCAGTCACCATGAACTGTGCAGGTTAGAAGCTTTTTTTCTTTGCCCTTGGAATCGAACCCAAATGTCCGTAATATGGGCTAGCATTTTAACTATTGAGCCAGATGTTAAATATTTAAAAATAAGAAACATACAAGGTTATCTGGTCTAAAAATAAATATTGATTTTAATAAGTCTTTTGTTATGGATGAAACAAAAAGCAATGCCACAATGGAAACAAATAATGCTTATATTTAATTAATTTTGAAAATATTTCTGACAACACACACTATTGAGACGATTGACAGAACACTGGAATGAGATACATAAAGTTCATAATATTTAACTGCACTAGGTGTACTGAATCTTTCATCTACATCCAGGTTTTTTTGCGTGGTACACAATGACATACAGCACCAACACTTTTTTGAGACATCACATTTTTTCAGAACCACTGTAAAACACACTAGACTGACAGTTATTTTTTTCATTTGCGGTGAATACTGGCACCTTCTTTAAAGACACTTTGTGATGAGCATCAGCACTTTTTTTCTAGGAAAAATCCCCTGCTTACATCTGTACTGAATGCACTACTTACATCTGTACTGAATGCACTACTTACATCTGTACTGAATGCACTACTTACATCTGTACTGAATCAGTTACTTACATATGCTATCATTGTCCTGGAACACTGAGCGTTGTTGGGTCACCAGTTGCTGTTGACTGGTCAGCTCCCTTCACTTTTGACAGTCTGATACGAAGGACTTCATGGTTGCATACGTAAGGCCTGTCTAGTCAGTCAGGTTTTGTAACCAGGTCTTTCTTGGTCTGCCTCTTCTCCTCTAATGAGCCCTGTTTCATCTGTACTGAATCTGGCACTTACAGCAGTGAGTGTTGTTCTTCCGTGAGCGATAAAGACTAGCTGGCATCCTAACTTAATAACTGATGAGTCCAACTGAGCACGGAAAGTTCTTGAGTGGTGTTAACAACAGATGGAAGAAACAGTTAAGGTGGGATTTTCCACACGGATCCTTCTAGTCTGCCTCTGTCTCTTTTCAAGTGCAACCTCCGCTGCATGGCATGCTGAAGCACCATGTTTGAAGTATGTTCGCCATTCAGATACTTACATCCACACTTGAATCAATCACAACATGGGTGGCGTTGAATCTGTCACTTACAACATGTCACTGACATTTGTCCTGACCCTGTAACTTATTTATATTTGTATTGAATCCGTCACATCAGGTCTGAACTGAATCTGTCACATACACTATCGCCGACTCATATTCTAAGCCTGCTGTTTAACCAACAGACTACAAGGTTTTCTCAACAAAGCACTCTTTCACAAATCTACCCTAACTGTCCATAATCATATTCTTAGGAATGTAATGAGTTAGTTTTTGGAATGTTATGAGTTGGTTTTTTAATTCTCCATCCTTACGGAAGGGTTGAAATATTACATAAACATTTTATTCTGAAATACAAATAAATGTTTTGCCATTATTAATGAAAATAATTCACACACAACAGAGTCAACACAAGGAAATGTTTTGCCATTATTAATGAGAATAATTCAAACATAAAAAACAGAGTCAACATAACTATGCATCATATGGGATACAGTAAAATATGTGGGGCAGTCCTCTTGTTCTTCTTCCTCTTGTTTTTTTCACTGGCTGTAAACTGCGGAAGAAAATCCTGTTCCTGTGACCACTTCTGCACTTTGGTCTGGTTCCAGAACTTCAGTGTTGCATGCGCATCGCTTTTACAGATCTGGAATATTTGTATTCCATTTATTGATTTTTTTGCCTCTCTAAAAGATACACTGACTTTAAAGGAAACAGGCTGACTCTACACTTTCCCTCGAAGTCGGAGTACATCTGCCGGAGAGGCGGGGAACGAGAACTGCAAACAAATAAGCCAGTAAAACGGATGTACACGCAAAACTCAGGTCAAGGTAAAAGCCAAAAGTCCATTTGGACGAACAACCGCGACTTACCGCCGGAATTCACAGCCGGTGAACAAGAAGAAGAAAGAAGAAGACTCTACACTACTTGGTGGTGAATTGATGTATGACAATCTGGATACTGTGAGGGCCCTTTGGAAGTGAGTGAGGAGGCACAGACAGCTCATTACGGTCTCAGGAGAATGGCGCTGCCAGGGGATCTGGCAGACGCTCAACACTCAGGGAAAGGGTGAGACACATATATAATTCACCCCCGTGTGGGTTCCGGGGCCCTTTTTATAGGGAAAACAAGAATAGACCCACTGCCTACCCAAAAGCATGTCTTAAAAGTAGACTAATTGGGAGCTTCCTTCAAAGTCGGAGTGCATCTGCCTGAGAGGCAAGGAACTAGCAGTCTGCATACGAATGAGTTAGATCTGTAAAACGGATGCACATGCAACACTCAGGTTCTGGAACAGGACTGCAGTCCAGCAGTGGATAAACAATCAGAACTTTCCGTCAGAGTTTACAGCTGGTGAACGCGAAGAAGAAGAAGAAGACATATAATTCATAGTTACTGCTGTCATCGGAATTGCAACTCTTCATTTTGCTGTTGAAGATGGGGACAGAGTGCTTATGGGGGTGTCCTAAGTGTTGTGATGTCAATGTTTAATTCAACATTCAACAAGAAACAGAGATCTCATTTACACTGGGCAGGCTGCTGGTTGGGGACTTGTTTCTAGGATGTTCGTGGAGAGATGCAGATAAGTCTTAACCTGAATGAACCCTGGTTCACCAACACCTGCTCTTGACCACTTCTGGATCCCTTTAAGTCCACAACCTGCACAACGTCACTGTTTGTATCTTCATCCTATTGAAGGAACAGACAGAGTATCTTTTTCTTCTTCTTACCCTTCACTGGCTGTAAACTTCATTGGAAGATTCTGGATATTCGTCCTATTCTGGTCTTTACTTCTGTTCCAGAACTTAAATTTTGCATACATATCCACTTTACAGATTGGGCTGACTACTGCAGACTACTGGTTCCCTACATCTCAGACAGATGTGCTTCAGCTTCGGAGGAAAATCCTTAATTAGTCGCATTCTACTATGTGCTTGTTAGTAAAGCACTGAGACTATATCCCCCCCCCCCCCCCCCCCCCAAATGGAGCTTTGGAATGCACATGGGAAAAACTGAATATATCTGGAGAGACACACCTGACTGGAAGTGAGCACAGGGTATGGACAGTTTTCAACAGACAGGGAACTTTTAATCCAAGTGCAACTGGATAAATTGTGAAACAGACGATGAAATGGTTCGGTCATCTTGTCAGAATGCAGCCACAACAAGTACCAATACAGGGGCCTTACATGGAAAGATCAGAAGTGAAAGCAAGAGTTTGTCCCAGGAGAAGATGGACTGATCACATAAAAGATCTTCTACATGGACATGTAATGACAATAGCCATTGCTTCCTATCCAGCAAATGATTGCAAACTGTTCCCCATGACGCTTAACAGTAAAAGTGAAAACTAATGATGATGATGCAATTGGTACCATCCATATGGAAATTCTTCATCGTCTACTGAGGAAGAAGACAGAGCTTGTGTGGGAATGTCCTGAGTGCAATGGTATTAATAGACTGATTCATTTATTGAAGACAATTCAGTTTAATTTCTGGTACTAATTATCACCATCACAAGCTTTGCTGACAGGCATGGGTGCTCATGATTCATCATCCCATACAATCACCAGAATGATGGATCAGGTCAGTGTTCTCATCTCAATCTTTATGGTCAAGCCTTTTTCCCCATTTGTTCATTTTCCCATCAAGTTTTCAGATCATCATTTGACTTACACTGCAGGAAATCTCCTGTCATAATTCAACTTACACTATCAGTAGCCTCATTTCATAATTGCAGGTAATCTTATTTCATAATTCAGCTTACACTGCAGGTAATCTGATTTCATAATTCAACACACTGCATGTAGCCTCATTTAGTAATTCAATACACTACAGGTAATCTCATTCAACAACATTTACTAAGAAGAGTTCAGTGACCAAGAGACACTACAGTCTGTTCAAAACAACAAGCCAGGTCAAGCTGCTGACATATCTGACTATTGCTGGGTGTGTAGACTCTCTCACGAGGAGTCAGTATTGCCTGCTGGCCCTGTGTCTCTAAAATGTTGTACTGTTCATGTACAAAGTCTGTGATGTCCTTGATATTGAGGATGTAAGTTGTAGCGTAATCAATCAAAGTCTAGATGGAAGACAAAAATCCACAAGTGGCAGCATTAAAACTTTGTAATAGAATATATCTTGCCAGATTTAGTCTGACAAAAAAAATAAAATAAAAAACTTATAGCAATTAAAAGGTACACTGAATTTCACTGATGTATTCTTGTGCATTCTAGCATCCTTCACTGTGCACCAATTGACTCTTCCTATTGTAACTGATCTTTCCCTAAACCACTGCATCCCCACCACCATGTGGCAGAGCACTGTCAGTACATTAATTTCACCTATGATAAATCCTAGGTCGTCTTTTATGATGCTGAAACAAAAAGAAAGATCTGTCACCAGACCAGACTTGTCTCTACTGATTGTCAACTTTCTAGAAATGATGCTTACTGGGCCAAAGAAGTTAATTTTGCCGGTGAAAGGAGAAATCCTCAACAAAGTCAATGAGCCCAAAATCCAGTGTCATGCAGTCTGTTCTAAACAGTTTGATCCAACACATGAGGTCCTGAGGGCAATGACTGCTCTGCTGAGAAAGCTGTTGTAAACTTGTAATTGAAGTGACGAAGCCGAATAAAGCAATTATCTGCTGCTATTATAACTCTGGGTCGTCCACTATGATGCTAATCTTTAAATGAACCAGTGGACTGGAACCGGTGCAGAGTCGATTGATGGCACTCTGATGCACGTTTAGATGCCTGGCAACCTGACTTTGAATTTCGCCTGCCTGCAGTCAGCCAATGTTCCTTAAATTTATCGACACAGATGACATACATGTCTGCTTGAAAATGAACCGAATTTTGGGTGTAGCATTATCCTTTTGTAAGTTTTCAGTTGCTTAGTCAGTGAATAGTTTTCACCCCCAAACTTTATTGCTTTTTTATGTGCGCATCATGACCTATGCTCAGGTTTCTTTTGGGCATCATTTCCTAGCCCATTTGTTTCCCACTGCAGTGACTATACATAAACAAATATCAAATTTATAACTCCCAGTACAAGTGTTTGACACCAGACAGTATACAGTTCTCTGACCTTATTCTTCTACTAACTTTGCCCTTCTACTAACCCTGCTCTTGTACTAACCTTTGCCCTTCTACTAACCTTTGCCCTTCTACTAACCTTGCCCTTGATACCAAGCTGAATTGCCCTACGCTGGAGCTTTTCTCCCATGGGACCATGGTCTGGGTCCCACTGCAGACGTACTGTGAAATCTTTCTTCTCTAGTTTCTGTGCCTGTTGTTTCTGGAAAATCACATTGTTATATTTAAAGGATGTTTAAATTCAATATGATCCACTTTTATTTCTACACAAAGTTGTATGCATCATGGCTCAGTCTATCTCCACAGAGTGGCTAGTCCCCTGCTGGATTGTTGCACAAAGAACAAACTCTATAGCCCCAGCAGTGAGTGATTTCCAGGGATATTTGAATGACCCACATTCGTGAACCAAAGCAGCAGTTTTGAAATGGATCCAGTGACTCCTATCATTTATGTGTCATCTTCACAATAAGGGTTGGCTGCAGTGCACCATTGTTTCCTTTGGGAATGTAATAATTAAGGCCCAAATCTGTTCCACAGCACGAGTTCGCGTACCATTTTCGGCACACCATAAACACAGTAAAAAAAAAAAAATCTATCATAGGGACAAACCTTAGTACTCAAAGTCATGAAATTGTTAATCACATTCACTAACCTAGTGCCCCTAAAATTGGGGGTGGGGTGGGGGGGGGGGGGAGGCTTCAAGAGGTCTGGGTCCCAATGTTTAGGTACCTTTGTAAGTAACACACAAAGACAAGTACTGTTTTCCACATTTTCATTGGGCACATAGGGCTAGATGTATACTTTATAGACCAATCAGAACTCACGCTTAGGTGCCTATGAAATAATTACAAATGACCAGCTAAACACAAAATGTGCAGCTCAGTTGTTATCAGTCAGGTGCCATCTCCACAATGATGGTTGACTGCAATGTATCTCCAACACATCATGTCTCTTGTCTTGGTTGTACACTCTCTCAGACTATTGTTCACCCATCTCTTAATTCTGTTCTCCCACTTGTATCATTGTCTACCTATTCCTCTCTTGTCAGCAATTGCTACCTCTCATTCTTCTTTTATGTTCAAAAACAATCTTCAGTAGCACTGTGACTACAGTACTCTCCAGTGGAGAAAAAGGGTTTACAGAAAATAACAGGAGACGAGAGAAAATAAAAAGGAGACTGAAGAGAAAAAAACCAGCAGACTGGATAGAAAATAAGAAATCTGCAGGGAAAACAGTGATGCGACTGAGCTAAGATACATTGATCAGAAAAAAATCACTCGTCACCTGTCCTGTAATTGCTTTTGATAAAATATCTTCAAATCCATCTCTTTTTAGCCGTACAGCCAAAACTCTTTCCTGATTGGTCTTTTGTGCCCAGCCACATCTGTACATCATCCACATGAAGCTTGTTTTGATCCAGGTCATTCGTTCAAAACTAAAATGAGGGCCCCCAAATCTATTTGTAGAAAAACACGTATAATTTATGTAACCAAATATGCAAATGTTTCATTTTTTAAAGTTAAAGGTTTAAGAATTAACGTCACAGCACTCAGGATATTCCCATAAGCGCTCCATCCCCATCTGCAGCAGAGTTTAAATTCTGATGGTACAAGTAAGTTTGATTGTATATCCATCTGGCCCCTTCCCTAAGTGTTGGCCAGATGTCCTTGTCACGGCTCTCAGCATAATTCTCTAGAGACCATGGTGATATATGTGTGCCTCTGCACTGTTCCCTCGCTCTTAAAGGGCCCTTACCACATCTAGCTTTTCTTGCGCCAGTTCACCACAGAACCAGATAGTCTATCAGTCTATTCCTTTCCCAGCACACTGGCATGACCTGGGAAAAAAAATGTCCTAATAGAACCATCTGTACTATAAGACAATGGACCAACAAATTAAATATGTATGTCTGTGTTTGCACCTTGTGTACATATGTTGTCATGTTAATGTGTGAATATGGTTAGCACCTATCTCAAAACTCCTCTAAGGGAAAACCCCAACTGCAGGTGCATGTGGCAGAGGAAGGTTAACACACTGGTGTGGTCAATGCAGCTCAGGGGACAGAGTATCCACTCAGATAAGTGGATGCCTCCAGGGTGCCCTCTACTGTTAGCAAGAGTATCACAGAGCAGGGCACTCACTTGTCCTGGCAATCTTAAAGGTTGCTAAAGGCTAAAGACATGCGAATATGGAAAGCAAGGGAAAACTAGCACAGTATTATCTCAAGAAACTTATGCTATGAGGTGAAAGAAACAGACCTTCTTTCATGCAGACTGATGTGAGAGTGACATTTTGCAAGGAGCTGCTACATGATGATGATGATCAGCATCTGTGGTTAGCTATGATCACCAGACATTTAGACTAGCATCGCACAACTGGAGTTCAGCATCTGTGGCAAACCATTAAACATCTTACAACTGGAGTTTAGCATCTGTGGCAAACCATTAAACATCATACAACTGCAGTTTAGCATCTGTGGCAAACCATTAAACATCATACAAATGGAGTTCAGCATCTGTGGCAAACCATGACACATCACACAACTGGAGTTCAGCATCTGTGGCAAACCATGACACATCACACAACTGGAGTTCAGCATCTATGACAATCTATGAAATATAGCACAACTGGAGTTCAGTATCTGTGACAAACCAGGACACATCACAATTAGACTAGCATCAGTGACAAACTAATGAAAGCATACAACTGGAGTGAAGCTTTGTGACAAACCGTGAAACATAGCACAACTGGAGTTCAGCATCTGTGATAAACCATGACACATCACACAAATGGAGTTAGCATTTGTGACAAACCATAAAACAACACCACTGGAGTTCAACCTCTGAGACAAACCATGGACATCACATGATTAGATTAGCCTCAGTGACACATCATGAATGCACATTACCCCAAAGACAAACATCTACACAAACCTTTGGTTTTGGACAGCAAACTCTGCAATGGACGGTTTGAACGCCTGGTAGACAACCACAGATACATCATCGAAATGTGCCAAAATGTGCTGCCCACTTTGTGGCCACAGCTCTTGCTGTGTACTGTAGTTTTCCATTACCAGGTCCCACCGCACAGCTTCAGCAGTATTTTGTTCTTGTTCTTTATCTTCTGTGCTTGTTTTGGTACTGTCAGAACTGCCAGGCTGTAGACGACCTGAAATTTGATGATCCTGGACATGTTTAGCAGTGTCCACATTCTCCCTTTCTATGGCAGCCATTGTCTTGCATTAATCAGTGCCGACCAGAACTCTTTCTGGGTGACTATGGAATACAAATCATAATAGTAATTTAACCACAATATTCTGTAAACCATCCAGGTTATGGCTGGGACATATATAGTTTATTAATATCTTACCCCAAACTGGGGAAATCCACAGGTCATGGGACAGTCTGATATTTCAGGGGGTGGTAGATAGGCTGCATGCAGTCTTGGGATCTAGGCTGCAGGCAGTCGTGGGACCTAGGCTGCACTCTCTCTCGGGACATAGGTGGGTTGGGGTTAGGGCCAATTCTAGATGTTTTGTGGTCACTAAAGAAATTTGAAACCTGGGGAACCCAGTTTTACCACCCTCTAAAATGTTGGACTGTCCTGTGATATTATCTGGGGTAGGATTTTATTAAAGAACCATATAGTTTTATCTATTCAAATTTAAACAACACAAGTTAATCGATGATGATCTTCATTGCATACTGGACAAGTCCATAAGCGCTCGGATCCCATCTTCAGTATCCCCTTCGGCATCTGGTGACTGATAACACCAGTTCTGTGTTGGTTTACTTTTTGTCTTTGGCTACCTTTAAAGTGTTGATGTCTGGCAACACCTCCATTGGCTTCAAGATTTTTGGTGAAACCGTCTTTAAATTTAAACAACAATATCCTAGACTACCCATTTCAGCTACATTGGATTTCCCCAAGTATAAGACGCATTTATTATCCAAAGACATAGGGTCTAAGAAAAGTGTGTGTGTGTCTTATAAAATAGTAATAGATTTTTACAAAATGATGTTAGAACAGAGACACTGAAAAGTACTATAAACATAACATAAACCTTGACCCATTAGGGTCGTGGAGGTGCATTGATGGAAGCACTAGCACATGAAACTCATGTTCTCTGTCTTCTGCTTGATGAATAAGTGTATGATAACTTAGTCCTGTCCATTTCTTGATGTTGTGATTCCAGGTTGTTCTTTGCCCTCTTCTTCGTCTACTATCCCCTAATGTTCCTTGAAGTACAGTCTTTGCAATTGAATCATGTCTCACCACATGCCCAAACCAAGCTAGCTTGCGTCATTTCACCACTGCCAAGAGAGGCTCCTGATGTCCCGCAAATTTGTACATTTTGTCTCTAACATATTTATTAGTTTTGTGCTCCAAATAACTAATTTGTAAAATGCGTCTGTAGCATTTACATTCAAAAGCCTGAATACTCCTTTCCATTTCCACATTGAGAGTCCAACTCTCACACCTGTATAAGAAAATACTATACACAAAGTGAACAGAGGGGCCCGTTCTAGAGATCTCTTCCTGCCCTGACGCCACGAGGCATTCTAGGAGTAGAGAAAAGAAAAAGATATTTGAAAATATCCTGTGCAGGGCCTCATGTGTGTAGGCAGGTTCAGAAATTACTTAAAAAGTTGCCATGAGAGACGAGTGGATTCAATGGATGCAGTCTTCTGGGGACAATGTGACACCAGCAGTTAGTGTGAAGAAACCAGCTATAGAATAAGTATGGACCTTTGTAAAATGATCCTGGGATAATGTGAAGCTTGAGACCATTGTCAAGTCATTCAAATACAACAGATAGAACTGAGATAAGGCATTAAATGAAGACAGAAATTTGTCATCAGACACAGACGAGGTCAAGACTAAAGATCTAACATATGAATGAGAGTTTTGACAGTGATGAGGAGGTTTCTGGACCCTATGATGAATAACATGTGACTTCAGTAACTTTTGGTAATCATACTATTTTTTCCTCAAAATTTCCAGTCCCAAAATCAAGGTGCATCTCATAAATCAGATCATCTTCTTCTTCTTAAAGTTCATGCTGTGTGGCGCTGATAGTCATGTCTATCCACAACATTCTGCCTCGTGTACTTTCAATCAACTCTGATACAGATAATCTTTCATGCCATGATGTCAAACTGTCCTGCATCTTTTATCTCGGTCTCCCTCTGCCTCTCCTCCCCTCCTACTTTCCTGCCGTCAAGATTTACTCCAGTTTTCTCCTTCTCATCACATGACCAAAGAATGTAAATTGTTTCTTTCTGATGTGGGCAATTAGTTCTCTTCATGAGTCACTTTCTTTCAAGACGTCTTCATTACTCTTTTTATATGTCCAGGTATTCTCATCATTCGTCTATAAAACCACATCTCTGCAGCTTCCAAATAAGTTTTCACTAACTAACTAACTAACTGTCTGGATCGTCTTACACTTAGGGAAATACAGTAACTGGGGTCTATAGATATTTTTGGTCCCTCTTCAGTACTGGATATTTATGCCAGTCAATAACTTTTGGTTTTTTAATACTACATGTTTGTTTGTGTATCCAGAAGCCATGAGTTGTTAACCCTTAGGCTCGGCATTATGGATATCGCATCCTTTCAGCCTTGATCCCATTGTAAGTACCATAAATCTGGGAGAAATGTGGCTTTTCTGCCTACCCCTGGGAGTAAACCCGGACCCGGTCACCGCGCAATTCGGTTTAGCCAACTATGCTAGAAAGCCGGGCAATACTACATAGATTATGTATTAATTGGAATCAGAATACAAAAACAAATTATCAGCTGTTTTTTTTTCTTTTGTGTTTGCTGCTCTTAAATGGGCATTTGGCATGTGGTTTACAACTAGGCTGTGATATCTTCATATTTTGGCCCAACACATCTAATTTCAACACAGTCTTAACTAGCTTCCTTTTGCAGCATGCATGCTAAGGCCAGTGGGTTTATTTTTTACTCCCTCAAAGCAGGGCTCAGAAAACAGTATGGGTGATCAGGGCTTTCAAATGTGTCTATGTACTCTTTTCCACACCTTCAGGTTATTCGGCATATAGGGCTAGATCTATATGGTATAAACCAACTGGCATTCGATCAACATCACGCTGGCTGCCTTTACTTTTCAGGATTTTACCAGGTACCCATTTAAAGCTGGGTAGATCTGACAGCAACGCTAATTTTTTTTTTTTTCTAAGCCGATTCCATTTTGATTTGAACCAATGAACTTCAGATCCACAGGTGAGCATCTAGCCACTACTTCACGTGTACATACAATTTAATTCTGATGAAGTATCAATTCTTTTGTAAAAATACTGCAATTTTCTTCACGTTATTTTGTTTAAAATATTGCAGTGTTGTTTTTCTTTATGTTGTCTACATTATACCATTAATCAATATTTACAATCCATCCCTGCATATGGATACAATGTTCAGAATTGTCTAGAAAGGAAAGGCTATGAAACAGGGAACCAGCCTCTCCAGCTGATGTGTTGTATTCTAGGATATGTTAAAACATAATACTACTTCCTGCACAAGACAAAAGTGTGTCAAAATCATTACACAAAAATCACTACACATGACCTTTGATGTTATTTTATACATGAGAAACATGCACTACTACTATTGGTACTGCTACTATTACTCATTTACTGCTGCTATTGCTCTAGTACTACCACCACCTATTATTCCTACTACTGCTGCTACAATTACTACTACAAAAATGAGTACTACTACTACTAAAACTACTACTAATTACAAATAATAATACTAGTGTTGCTGCTGCTCCTACTACTACTACTTTTATCTTAGCGTTCACTGGATGTAACCTCTTGAGGAAAGCTCTAGTTGTTTGTCTATATCTGGACTTCAGTAGTGTTCCAGAACTTGAGTTTTGTGTGCACATCAGTTTTACAGATCTGGCTTATTTATATGCTGACTGTCTGTACCTTGCCTCTGGGGCAGATGCACTCGGACTTTGAAGAAAGCACACCTAAAAAGTCAACTCAATTGACCACATACCTGCTGAAGGGTCAGTAGATCTTTTCTTGATATACCCCCCCCCCCCCCGACCCACATAAGGGCCCCGGAACCCACCCAGCGAACTAATACTGCTATAACCAGGGCTTTTTTTCTTGTGGTATGCAGTATTGGTCGGCTTTGTGGCTAAGTCTATGCGAACAATTCGCTTCGGGTTGCCGGGTTCGATCCCATCTGCGGGCAATGCGCCTTGCGTTGGTTTCGACAGTGGTATCAAGAAAGCCGACCGTCCAGAAAGCAATGGCAAACTACTGGACGTAAATTTGCCTAGAGAAACCACACAACAGCCAGGGGCTGTTAGGGTTAGTTCTGCAACGTCCTGTAAAGGATAGCAACAATATTTTAATGCAGTATTGGTACATTTTTAGACGTCATTTTGTCAGCGGAACCGTAATAATAGACACTTTGTGGTAAGCACCTTTTTCCTCAGGAAAAAAATGTCCTGACTACTACTGCTGCTGCTGCTTCTGCTACTACAACTTCTACTACTGCTGATGCTGCCGCTAGTTTTTTGAGTCATAGCTGTCTAATTATCATTTTTAAACGGTGCTAATATAATAATAATAGTTAACTCTATGTGATTACTATTGTTATGAATAAGTGCTTGCTGACAAACACTGCTGGCAAAGAATAATTTGACTCGCCATTCAATTCCTCATCATGTGAGAAAATGTTGTGTGTATGTTTCTGACAACCGTATTGATCTTATAAACACAACCGTCCCTACGTCCGGCGCGCTTGCCCAGTTTGAGATTACCCCTTGTGTGAAAGTGAACTATAGTTTCGACCCTAAAGCATGTCATAAATAACAACACATGTCGTGTCCTAGCGACCCTGGATTGTCCAGACCTGACCTAGACTTGTTGATTTTACACACGGGACTTCGGGACGGGCGATACGTGCTACACAGGGCTACCGAAATTATTTGGCGAATAGTACCACTTATTGTTTGCAAAGGTAACAAAACACATCAAAAGGTTACATTTTAAATAAAAAAGAAATGGTTAAATATCTTTAACACACATACATACACATGCGCCCACACACACACACACACACACACAAAAACATATAAGCTGGTAAACCTTATATGACGATATATAGGCTAGTTTAAGTACCTATCATGTTCATCCTCGTGAACAAAGTTTTTCTCCAGGGACACAAATGCGTATCATTTTTTTAGTACATTAGAGTCCTATGTAGTCACTTTATAGTTAGTGCATAATTGTGTATGTGTGCTGTGTTGTTCTTTGTGTGCTGATGAAGACTAATCGCCGTAACGTCCTATATTTGTTCATTGTGATCAATATTGTAAACTATTTGTTCTTTCTTACCCCATTTTTTCTCTTCCCTATAATTTCCGACCCTTTTAAAACTTACTAATGGAGACTGATTTTCATTTCCACAGTTATCTTTAAAATTTGAAAACGAAAATGTTTCTGGTGTTTTTCAGCATTAGGTAATTCTTCTGCTTCTTTGTTTAGCAGCTGTAAGCTCCCAAGTAAAGTCTTGACTGTTCGTATATTTGGACTTTGTCTTTGTGCTAGGGCGTGAGTTTTTTTATTTACCTACGTTTTGCTGGCTTATTTGTGTACTGTTGGTTGTTCACGACCACACTAGCAGATGCACTACGAAATAGAAGGAAGCCGCCCTAATTATTCGACTCCTACGACATGCTTGTTGGTGAGACAGTGGGTCTATTCTTGTCCCCCACCCCACACACTGGGGACTTGGAACCCACACGGGGAATTAGGTGGTTGATCTTGCATTTTAATCATTTTCAGTCCCTCCCCCCCCCCCATTCTTTATTAATTTGTTTATAATGTTCTTGTTGAAAAAAGTCGATCTTTCTTCAGTAACATTTAAAGAATCAAACGCACAATGCCAATATTAAAAATATTGATGCACGATTTCTGAAACGTAGCAAACCACCGGGTACGGTACTACAAGTACCTCGGCAAGGGTCAAATAGTACCACATTTTGGGGGTCTCCATGGCGAAGTGGTCAAACCGTTTGCCTCGCGCTCTAAAGGTTGTGAGTTCGTTTCACGACTGCGCCTTTCGGTTCACGAGTGTAATTTTCCCAGAAATCCATGGGGATGTTGCCGGAACTACGGAGTTCGAACTCTGTACGATGCTCTCGATAGGCGAATAGCCGTTCTGCGGAGAGAGGCCGAGCCATATGAGATAAAACCCGGTGCAGGGAAATCGATCTTCTTGGCTTTAACTTCAACTTTTTAGTACCAAATGTGAACGGAAATACCAACTTCAGAAGCCTTGGTGCCACAGTCTACATGCTTGCCCACGGTGGGAAAATTGAGCCAAACATACTGTAGGAGCCCTAAAGAAAGTGTTTTTTACACCAGTCTCTGTGTGTACGTGTTCGTTATTTGCCGTATCAAGTATTAGGCAAGTGATGAATGTATAGCATTATAATATAACATGTATTGTATTATCACTTCAGTGAGTTTTTTTTAGCTGAGCGGGGACATTTGATACAGTTTTGATACAGATAAAATCAACTAGTAGTTTAACTACAGCTTCTGCGTGTAGTTTGAGTTTTAAATTTTAATTACATGATAGTAGTTAGAGTTAGTAGTTACTAATATTTTTAGTGTGCTTGCTGTTGTTCTGTTCCTGAAGGTTACCCAGTTGGAGTGTTTAGGATGTGAGATCTACTGTAAAGGCAGTGGGTACCTTCTAATTTGTTGTATTGTCTATAAGTTGGCTATTTTGTGTTCAGCTATGCTATTCCTAATGCTGTTTTTGTTCCTGGGGCGATCGTCTCTGGCTGGCTGTTATGTAGAAGTAAGTAGTATTGTAGTAATTTAAACAGTAATATATATTACTAATATCATATCATGTTAAACCCATCGAAGGAGAACCATTTGTATATGATTGTAGCGTAGACTGTCAGGTTGGATAATAATATTATTTCAGTAATTGGTAATAGTCATTTTTAACTCTTTCACTTTCAGTCCCATGAGGTGTCACATAAGATTATATTAAGATATTCACAGCCACAATAAATAGAACATAAGGGTGTAACTTTAACAGAGCTCCCACTTACACACTTTGAGTGAAAAATAGATGTTACCTGTTATAATAGCTGAATAGATTTCAGTATTATTCCTCATACCAGGTCGTAGGTTGCTGGTTCATTTGGGCAATAGCATATCAGGCACAGTCCATTGTTTATGACTAAAAGTGTTAAATTATATTCTGTTGTCTATCTTTGCAGATATTTAAAGTGATCTGGGATATCATTATTCTGTCTGAAGTTTTTCAGCCCCAAACAATGCCCTGTGGGTAATTGAATTTACCCCTTGATTCCTCTCCACTGTATAATGCATTCTTTTACTTTTACCATTTGGTCAGAACACACTAGAGAAATGTGGTTTCCTCCACTGGTCACTACAACTATGTATAGTATATTTCCACCTTGTACGTAAAGCATGATGATTTTTGCGGGCTGCATGGTCTCAAGGCATGGCGTCCGCCTCGAGTGCTGGATGTCACGGGTTCAGGCAGGGCTTTCTTCACGGGCACTGGTCTCTGGGGTAGTAAGGTCAGATGCCCGTATCTATTGTTGCACACGTTAAAAAAATCTCTTGTCAATTGGAAATCGAAAAGAGTAGCCTAACGGCGCTGCCCAGGCCAAATTTGGAGTTAAAAATCTACCCAAAGTATTTCAGGATCCTCACCAGTGCTACGGAGTTCATGCACTGATTCTTCATACTCAGGTTTGAGTCCATCGTTTAAACCTTAAACCTTCATCACTTTGGTATCTCCTGTGGAATCTTTGGAACTGAGAGTTAAGATATATTAGTACCTGATATACCAACCCCTTGTCTTGTAATGTACCGTTTTATCCTTCCCTGTAGTTCTCTGTGTTATGGTTTCAGCGAGGTTCTTTACAGCAGAGCGTGTACCTATTTCAGAAAATTAGCAGACCACCTTGAGTTCTCTAGAAACCAGGCTGACACTAGTACAGCCCACACTCTCTGTCCAGGGTTTACATCATATCATTAGTCATGTTTACTAGAACAGTTGCTAGAAACATACCCAACTTGGTGTGGTACACATTACCCGCTGCACTTCTGTGTGTAGTTGTGACTGTTACAACAGTTGGATTTGTATCACAACATAATTCTCTCGTCTGGAAAGGTGGAAATGTGCCAACAACAAAACCAAGAACAGTTGTTAGTTGTTTCAGATGTGGTCAGTGAAACCGTACTTTCACTGAGTCAGTACACCTTCTCAACTTACGACCTATGTGACTTGTGATCACACAAAAATAAATAAATAAAAATAGTAAATAAAAACAGCTACATTGGCAGAGGCAAAATGTTCTAAGAACTAATGCAGTAGAGTACATATTATGTATTTTTCACATTATATATACAGTTATTATCTATCTTTTAGAACATTTAAAGGTTCTGGGTTATTTTATAGTTATATCTTATATTATTGAAGATTGTTTTATCACTTCAGTTGTGATCCTGCATTTCATAAGTTTGTTTTATCAGTTGTGATCCTGTGTTTCCGTAAGATTGTTTTATCACTTCACTTATGATCCTGTATTTCTGTAAGTTTGTTTTATCACTTCAGTTGTGATCCTCTATTTCTGTAAGTTTGTTTTATCACTTCAGTTGTGATCCTATATTTCCTTAAGATTGTTTTATCAGTTCAGTTTTGGTCTTGTATTTCCATAACAATGTTTTATCACTTTCGAAATATTATTTTATCACAGGAGTTGTCATCTTAAGATTGTTTTATCACTTCACTAGCCTTGTTATATTAAGCAATATTATTGAATCATTGCATCGTCAGTAAACTTTTATTATGAGAGACTTTTAAATCGCTTCATTTGTAATCATTAAAAATCAAGATTGAATCATGTCTTATTCTAATGACCTTCTTATCTTGGACTGGGTCATACTGTTTGACTCCAGCAATGACCCTATCTAGGGTTTAATCACTTCAGCGTTGACCTCTTCTTATCTAGGATTAATTTCCCTGTTCTGGAGGGTTTTCACTTAGCCCATTAGATGTCACAAAACTTCTTTTTTATGTCTATCCTGTTGACCTTTTTTCCTTTGCTAGTTTAGCAGGTTCACTTCTGTTTGCTAGTTTAGCAGGTTCACTTCTGTTTGCTAGTTTAGCAGGTTCACTTCTGTTTGCTAGTTTATTGGGTTCGCTTCTGTTTGTCTATTATCTTGACTTCTCTTTGCTAGTCTGTTGTGTCACCTTCTTCTTCCTAGTCTATAGTGTCAACTTATGTTTGCTAGTCTATTGTGTTTTTCATTGCTGTATCTGTAATGCTGTCTTTGCTTGTCAGTTATGCTTGTCTTTTCTTTGCTTGTCTGTTGTGTTGTTATCTTTTTGCTTGTCTATTGTGCTGTTAACTTTTTTGCTTGTCTATGCTAGTCTGTTGTGCTGTTACCTCTGTGCTTGTCTATTGTGCTGTTAACTTTTTTGCTTGTCTATAGGGCTGTTACCTCTATGCTAGTCTGTTGTGCTATTACCTCTGTGCTTGTCTATTGTGCTGAGTTCCATTTCTTGTTCTTCTTCTTTTGCCTTTCTATCCCCCAATAGAGCATAGGCCCTCAACCAACTCACGCCAAGTCGTTCTATCCTTCGCTATTACATGGAGCTCTTCCCATGTCCTCCCCATTTGCTTGTGTATCATGCTGACTTCCACTTGCTTGTCTGTTGTGCCGACTTCCATTTGTTTGTCTATTGTTCCGACTTCTATTTTTTTGTCCTATTGTGCCAACTTCTTTTTGCTTTTCTTTTATGTACAGACAGTATACAGTAGTATAGATGATGATATTGTCTAATTATTGTTTATTTCAGCTCAGTTTCCAGCAGTAGAAAATGCCGAGGACTGTGGTTGTTGGTGTAGACAACAGCGATTATTCAGAATTTGCATTCGACTGTAAGTTTGGCTCCCCAAAATGTTGTAATAATCAGATGTGTGTGTAGGGTTTTTTTCATAGTTGACCGTGAATACAGGGAGTGCCCAGCAAGTAAAACAGAATCATAATTTCAACAAATGATTCATAACAATTCTCACTCAAGTAATGTGACTATCTGTACGGATAGCTCTCTGTTAAGAGGCAACAGAAGTGTGTGCCGGTTCATGGCAAAAGCAAATGAACAACCTTTAGTGCAACAAAGCCTGGCATATGATACCACAGTGTCTAGTTTAAGAATGAGGGTAGAGACAGTCACTGTAGCTTTCTGCAGGTTGCAAGCATCACTTCAGAAATCTTGGGTAATTAGCATACTTTGGATACTTTTTTCACCTGTATTCAGGTGTGTTGGGAAATTAACAGCCAGGCAATTTGCTGGTGCTGTACCACTTGGTGACAAACTGATGCATAAAAAGCTAGATGTGGGGAAGTGCCTTTGGAAGGGAGCGAACAGTATGATGAACAAAAATATAATTAACATAGTGACAGTGTATTGATTGGCACTCATAGAAAGAAGTAGAAAGACAGAAGGACACACTAGACAACATACATATCGAAAGCTATAGTCACCATGCCGGGAATCGAACCTGTCAACTCCAGATGGTGTTTGTGCTTCGCTATAAAGACAAGAAAGTGTACTAAGAACACAACCAACTAGGCACCCGTTTAACTATGTGAAAAACAAATAGATTATCACAGTTTGAAGAGAATTATGCAGCAGGGTGACCCAGGGGGTCTGGCTCTCAGCAGTCAATGAAATGGCAAGACGAGCCTTACAAGAGGCACAGTGTGTAGACATGGCACAACAGCTGATTCACTTAGGCTCTTCAATAGAAAATCTGCACTGCAGGGGATTCCAGGTCACTGTGGCTTGGAAGGCAATAAAATAGCGGCCAGATTGGCTAGAAGTGGCAGTGACATGGTACAACCAAATCGTGACATAAGCCACCAAGAGACTAATACATTAATACAGTCTAGTGTCCAAGAAAGGTGACTGGATACACATTCCAAATTCTCTACTCAAGACTCGCTTCATCACCTGTCTTGAGAATTGGTCAGTGTGTTATGTTCAGTCTAAGGACAGGACACAACAGATTTCACCAATGTATGTTCAAATTTTTCGGAGTAGGAAACATAGAGACGTGTCTGTGCAACTTGTCACCAGAAAATGCTGAGCATGTGCTTCAACACTGTCAACTGTATGCTGCCAATAGAGATATAGTCTGGGCTGTTTCAAATTCAAGATGACATTAGCTGTATGGTACACAGGGAAATCTCGACTGCATGAGAGCTTTCACAAAGTCTTCTGGCTTCTTGATGTAAGTTTTCTGACAGAAGGATCAAAGAAGAAGACGAAGAGGTTGATGATGATGATGATGATACACTACCTGAGGGTCCGATACATTATGTGAGGATATCATGCATTACCTGAAAATATGATACATTATTTTCAGACAATTTCAATCATTCGTTCTGGCTTTTATATTTTCAGTCTACACCAAACATGTTTGGGTCAAAGATGATAACATTGTTCTGGTCCACGTCTCCGAGTATACATCGCTGGCTCAAGCACGTGAGTCAGTTATTATAGAGATCTAAATTGTATGCTGTTCTCTACGTGTGGGTTCCGGGGCCCTGCTATACTAAATACAAGAATAGACCCACTGCATACCCAAAAGCATGTTGTAAAAGTCGACTAATTGGGAGCTTCCTTTAAAGTCGGAGTGCATCTGTCTGAGAGGCAAGGAACCAGCAGTCTGCATACAAATGAGTCAGATCTGTAAAACAGATGCGCACGCAACACTCATGTTCTGGAACAGGACTGCAGTCCAGAAGTGGATGAACAACCAGAACTTTCCACCAGAGTTTACACGAAGAAGAAGTATGCTGTTCATTAATAGTTGCGGAAACATAACTTGTATATTATTGATTACATAGTTACTACTGATTGTAGAAATCTCAAGTAAATCTCATTGCTTACAAGGTTATTACTGATTATAGAAATCTAGTTTGTATTATATTCATTACAAGATTATTACTGCTTGTAGAAATTTAACTTTCAAGTTATTGATCATAAGGGTATTTATTACTGATTGTAGAAATCTATCGGTTTTTTAAAAATTGATTACAAAATTATTACTGATCATTTATTTAGTTTTCTGACTCTGGTATTTGACTGTGGATTTGTGTGTTCTTACTGCAGATTTGTGTGTTCTGACTGCAGATTTGTGTGTTATGACTGCAGATTTCTATGTTCTGACTGCAGATTTGTGTGTTCTGACTGCAGATTTGTGTGTTCTGACTGTAGATTTATGAGTTCTGACTGCAGATTTGTGTGTTCTGACTGCAGATTTTTGTTTTCTGACTGCAGATGTGTGTGTTCTGACTGCAGATTTGTGTGTTCTGACTGCAGATTATTGTGTTCTGACTGGATTTATGTCTTGCGACTGTGGATTTGTGTGTTTTTACTATGGATATGTGTGTTCTGACTGTGGATTATGTGTTCTGACTGTGGATTATGTGTTCTGGTTTTTTATCTGCATGTGATTATGAATCACTAATAGTAAGTTTTAGCCAGTTGCAGCCAAAGATGTTTTTTAAATATTAACAACTATAGAAAGGTTCAAGCCACTGTCACAACACTTGCTACCATTTGCTTCCAGCTGTCCTGTTGACCGACCCAATTGTGGTGACTGAGCTGATCAGGGAAGAAGAGGTCAAGGTGAAGCAGCTAGTGGAGAAATACAGCGAGAAAATGAAGAAATTACATGTAGGTGACAGTCACCTTTTACAATAATTATTATAATAGTAATAATTGGAGCCGCCATGGTCTAGCGGCTAGATGCTCACCTGCTGATAGGAAGGTTGTGGGTTCGGTTCCTGACAGGGTCCAGACTTTTTTCCAAAATGACTTTCGCTCCCCGGTCGACCTAGATTTAAGTGGGTACCAGGTACAGTCCTGGGACGTAAAGGCGGGCTGCATGATTCTGACCATGTCACCCGCGAAGTGCTGTTTGGTCTATAAAATATAGGTCTAGCCCTATATACCCAGTACACCTGAAGTCATGGAAAAGGGTTCTTTACTTTTAATAATAACAATATTAATAATAGGGATAATAGCCATTTTAATAATAATAATTCCCCATGTGGGTTCTGGGACCCTATTATAGGGAAAACAAGAATAGACCCACTGCCTACCCAAAAGCATGTCTTAAGAGTCGACTTACTGGGAGCTTCCTTCAAAGTCGGAGTGCATCTGCCTGAGAGGCAAGGAACCAACAGTCTGCTTACATATCTGGCAAACGGATGCACACGCAACACTCAGGTTCTGGAACAGGACTTTCCACCGGAGTTTACAGCCGGTGAACGCAAAGAAGAAGAAGAATTGTAATAGTATTAAAAATCATCATGTCGCAGGTCCTTTCCAGAGTATCACTCTCTTCGTGGTTTGTCTGAAAGAAACTCAGTTTCTCGCCAGCTCTCCTACCTCAAGCACTTTCTTACCTGAGGAGTCACTTTAATCTTCTGTCTGTCTTCTTGCTGGTCGGCCCCTGCCTCTCTTTCCCGATACCACACTTTTCACTATTCTTTCCAAGAAGAATCTAGATTTTGAACGGTACCATCAGTGTAGGAACTCTACGCTGGCAGCTAAAGATGAGGATGAAGCATGCATGGGAATGCCCCGAGTGATGTGTTGTCAATTCTTGACTGAACTCAACTCCAAGAAGACGATGAATAGATACTTATCATGGAAACCAATAACGGTAATAATAATGATAATGAATTAAATGCCACATAAATATAGTAATATATTTCATTTGAGTTAAGAACTGATATCAAAGCACTCAAGACATTCATATAGGAACACTGTCCCCATCTTCAGCAGCCGGTGCAAAGTTCCAGTTCCAAATAGGCCAGTAACAGTCTGATTGTCTGTCCGTCTTGTCTTTTCCCTGTGTGCTGAGTATTCGCCAGATCTCCTGGTCATTCCCTGCTGCACCATTTGTTTTTGGACTGGGACGATCTATTTGTTAATTCACTCCAAAAAAAAGAGCCAGTCAGTCAGTAGCATGTCCTTTGCAGAACCTTACTGCCATAACAACCTTCCGGAAAACTTCTCAATCACAAGCAAGATGTTGGGAGTCTGATACACCCATCTGTAGATCATCATCCACATCCTGCAGCCATCTTCTCTTTGGCCTTCCTCTTTCTCTCTTTCCAGGCATATACCCCTACATTATTGTTCTCTCTAAACTTTCATGACGTTTCAAGTGACCAAAATATTTCAGTTTTCTGTTTTATCATCTGTAAACAAAGAGTGCTTACGGGAAATCTCCCAGTGCTGTGAAATCATTCTTAAAATAGCTAAATAGTTATTTTTGTTGTTGTAAAGGTTTGTTAAATATTCATGTTTATGATTTTCCTAATTTCAGCTGGCTGGAAAAGTCAAGCAGATGGCTGGCAAGAGTGGGGAGGCAATTATTGCAGCTGCCATAGAAGAAAAGGCCAGTCTCATCGTCATGGGAACTCGAGGGATGAGCGCGGTTCGACGCACATTCATTGGCAGTGTTAGCGACTATGTCCTCCACCACTCTAATGTGCCAGTATTAATTTGCCGAAAGAAATAATTGTATTGTTAACACATTTATGTAACTCATGGCTGCTTGTCAAAATTAACTGTATGGTTGTGTGTTCTAGCGCTAGATTGTTATCTGCTTATGTTGCCTGGATGTTACTGATGTTTGTTTCAGTCAGTGTTTGTTGGTGCGAAGGCTGAGCCATTCAGTATTTACTTGTTTCTTGATTATGAATGTTTATGGATTGTGAATGTTTATTGAGTGTGAATGTTTATTGATTGTGAATGTTTATTGATTGTGAATGTTTATTGATTGTGATTGTTTATTGATTGTGAATGCTTCTTGATTCACACCCATGAAGTGAGGCACTGCTAAAATTGATATTTTAAATTCTCAGCATTTATGATAGAGAGTCTAGTTTTATATTTTACTGACTGTTGGGTGTCTGTCAAGAATTATTCTACATTTGTTATAGCTTGCCTTGTGAGAAGCATTTATGACAGACAGTATTACACACCAGTTTTTTTCTTTTTGATGGTAAGTGGACTACTATTGATCTGCGGAACAAGTTGAGGGAATCAGCGATATCATTTCCAAAAACCCTTAACTATAATGGGAGTCGCCGTGGCAGAGCGGCTAGACGCGCGCCGCGGATCGGAAGGTCGTGGGTTCGCTCCCTGGTGGAGACGGACTTTTCTTAAAAAATGACCTTGGCTCCCAGGTCGACCCAGCCTTGAGTGGGTACCGGGTGCAATCCCGGGAAGTAGAGGCAGGCCGGCGTGATGCTGACCACATCACCCATCTTGTGCCGTTGGTCTATAAAAATATAGGTCTAGCCCTATATGCCCTATACGCCTAAAGGCGTGGAAAGGGTCCTTTACTTTTTTTTTTTTTTTTACTTAGCTTTAATATAATCCATTTTGCAATTCTTATGATAAAATATAATTAGTTATTAAATCTTTGAGTCCCAACAATCACTATATCTGCTGCATCCCCTCTCTAACTTACTTTGTTGTCTTACATTTTGTATTTGGTCAGAATATGCTCAAGAAATCTAGCTTATCAAATGGTCATTTATTCTTCTTCTTTTACTGCTTCAAGTGTCAAGGGAGATATAGAGCTCTGCTTCTTGCTTCTCTGGCCACCTCAACCATAGACAGACATATTGTGCTGTTACAGAGTTTCTCTAATGTTACCTTTTCATCTTGTTCTTGGTCCTCCTGCTCTTCGTCCTTGTTCCCTATTTGTGTATGTCTTGTATGGAATGTTGTCACAAGGCGTTCTCTCTAAGTGTGCAAAGCATTTAATTTAATGTCTTTGTATGTAATTTATAATTGGTTTGTGTGCCAGTGTGTTCTCTTATGACCTCATTCCTGATTTTATCTCTTCTGGTGACTCCTGCAACCCCCTTTTTTTAGATATCTCGTTTCCAATGGTCGCTGAAATTGTTATATATCACTGTTTTCAAAGAAATGCATTTATGAATTTTAGTCACATATATTTGTTGCGTCTCCTACGAAAACCTTTTGGTACTAAAAAATTTAAGTAAGACAATTAGAAAGTATTAGGTCTATGGCGTATTGTTTGAAATTGTGAGGCGTCCACAGATCTTCACAAACTGGGAAACATTGATGACACAGTTGGCTCCAACACACTTGAAGTTTGCATACCTGGCTTCAGCTGAGGTAATAGCAGCTGGCCAAATTATTAAGAATGCAGGAGACTCACATTTGAATCCGCGGTGAGGTTGTGAATTCGTTCCTGCAAAAATACAATCCTAAACTGCACAGTGCCGTGGCGGCAGCTCTAGCAATGTGGCCCTAAGTTTTCAGGTTTAAAGACCCCACAAAAGTGGTAAAACAAGCAGTCGTGGAATTTGTGTATTTTAAATAAATGGTTACAGATATGGGTGGGAGGGCCTTGTCTCTCACTTTTGTCTAACCATTTCTTGGAGTTTTTTTTTTAGATGTCAGAATATCTTCTCTGGGCTCAGCAGTTCCATGACAGCTCAGGCCTCAGTGGTCACCCACTCTGCTGCTTGTACAACAGCTTTAGTCCACTACTGTGAGCTGACTACTTGTGTTGAGGAGAATGTGACAAAGTGTCCCAGTGATGGCAGGGACTTTTCCTGGGGAAGACAGCAGCCGCTTGGCTAAAGGTAGTCAAAGTCTAGTAATGAATATATCAAGTAGGTCTGGAATCACATGAAAACTATGATATAGGAGAGTCTTTTTCTCCCTCTGCATGTGCCTTTAAAATTACAGTTGGTGCATTGTGTTGTGGTTTAAGGCTAGGCTGTGATATCTGTGCCTTTTGAATAAACATATCAGTTAGTGAATTATTTGTGAGTACACTTGCTTCATTTACCTGTGTTGTTTGTGAGTGAGTTACCTACCTTGTTGTCATGGCTCTATGATTTGTTATGAATCTGACAGTTTGCTTCATGTCATCATTTGTCACAGCTCCTTTGTTGTCACAACTCTGACAGTTAACATCCTTGTTGGATAAAAATGACAGCAAGCTGTCTTGTTGTGATGGTTTATGACATTAAGCTTTCTTGTTAAGACAATACACACTCTTGTTGTGAAGGTTTATAAAAGTAGACTTTCTTATTGTGAAGGTTTACAACATTTCATGAGTTTGATCTGAGAGTCAGAAGCACTGTTGTGATGGTTCTATAAAGCACGAACGTGATACATAGTTGTTTAACAACTGATTCACCATATGTTAAGTGGTTAGTTTAGTCATTGAGGCAGAGAACTGGACTACATATTAAAGAAAAAATGTTCTCTACATTCTGCTCTGTGATTGTTGTTATATTATGTGCTGCTAAACTTGAAAAAAGCCAGCCACTTCATGTATATTAACATCATATAAAAGACTATCGGGAATCTCCGTGGGGGAGCGGCTAGATGCGCACGGCGGATCGGAAGGTTGTTAATGCTCCTTGACGAAGTCAAACTTTTGTTTAAAAAATGACCATAGCTCCCGGGTGACCCAGCCTTGAGTGGGTCCCGGGAAGTAGAGGCGGCCGGCGTGATGCTGACCACATCACCCATCTTGTGCCGTTAGGCTATAAAATATAGGTCTAGCCCTATACGCCCTAAAGGCATGGAAAAGGGTCCTTTACTTTTAAAAGACTATCTGTATGTATAATAATAAGGTTAATTAGAACAACTCCACAGCGGTAGCATGCACAGCAGGTGGTTCCCCCCCCCCTTTCGACAATTGTTTTGGCCCGCTATCCTTTTAGAGAATCGATTTTGGGGGGAGGGGGGTGTGTTCCGAAGTCAGGATGCCAGGCCTCAGCCTTCTGCTGCCCTTTAACGGTCGATGATCGTGTGAAATGGTGAAACATGACAGCCTTAGCTGCCAAGTGATTTTTTTTACATGCGCAACAATGCACACGGGCATCCGATCTCACTACCCAGAGTCAGGGGAATTACTAGAAGTCGAAGTCCGTGTGAAAAAATCCCAGCCCCTACCTGGAATTGAACCCGGAACCTCTAGCATTCGAGGCAGACACCATGCGTTGAGACCATGCGGCCCCCTGATTCAAGCTAATGACAAGTGGAAGTTGACCAAGCGGATCGCTTTATTCAGTTTAATAGGCTACAGCAAGTTAGAATAAATAAATGCCTGAGACAATATTTTGAAAAGTGAGGCCTATGCAGTTTTGAGGCCCCAAGCTGTAGCTTGTTTAAATTATATCTAAATCCGGCATAGCTTTTAGCGCATGAGTTTTAGGAGGCAGTAGATCGCTCTTTCTCTCTCTCTGTCTTCCTGTCTGTCTGTCTATCTCGCGCTCCCCCCCCCCCCCACCCCATGGTCTCCGGGAACCCATACGGGGGTAATTAAGGCAATAAATTTTTTTTATAACATTTCCACAAATTAGATTTGTTACTGTTGCTTATCTTCTGTTGAGTATGTGTGTCAAGACCACAAGCGCTTCCATGTTGGTTCAGTGTTGCATTATAGGCTCCCGTGCAGCACCGAGCCGTTGCCATACAACCAACCGCGGGAATAAGCTGGTTCCGAAGTTCCAACATCTCTGCAGATGGATTTCCCACAGCTGGTCCATTCATGTTCTAGTAAACATACACAATTTCCTTCACTGTCCCACAGCTGGTCCATTCATGTTCTAGTAAACATCATACAAAATTTCCTTCACTGTCCCACAGCTGGTCCATTCAAGTTCTAGTAAACATCATACAAAATTTCCTTCACAGTTCCACAGCTGGTCCATTCATGTTCTAGTAAACATACACAATTTCCTTCACAGTTCCACAGCTGGTCCATTCATGTCCTAGTATACAACATACACAATTTCCTTCACAGTTCCACAGCTGGTCCATTCATGTTCTAGTAAACAACATACACAATTTCCTTCACAGTCCCACAGCTGGTCCATTCATGGTTTAGTAAACATACACAATTTCCTTCACAGTTCCACAGCTGGTCCATTCATGTTCTAGTAAACAACATACACAATTTCCTTCACAGTTCCACAGCTGGTCCATTCATGTTCTAGTAAACATCATACACAATTTCCTTTACAGTCCCACAGCTGGTCCATTCAAGTTCTAGTAAATATCATACAAAATTTCCTTCACTGTCCCACAGCTGGTCCATTCATGTTCTAGCAAACATCATACACAATTTCCTTTACAGTCCCACAGCTGGTCCATTCAAGTTCTAGTAAATATCATACACAATTTCCTTCACAGCTCCACAGCTGGTCCATTCAAGTTCTAGTAAACATCATACACAATTTCCTTCACAGCTCCACAGCTGGTCCATTCAAGTTCTAGTAAACATCATACACAATTTCCTTCACAGTTTCACAGCTGGTCCATTCAAGTTCTAGTAAACATCATACACAATTTCCTTCACTGTCCCACAGCTGGTCCATTCATGTTCTAGTAAACATACACAATTTCCTTCACTGTCACACAGCTGGTCCATTCATGTTCTAGTAAACATCATACACAATTTCCTTCACAGCTCCACAGCTGGTCCATTCATGTTCTAGTAAACATACACAATTTCCT